TCTTTATGGCATCTAGGAAATCCAATCTTCCCTAAACAGGTTTAGACTGAAAGACCAATTCTTTATGAAAGATAAATCTGGCAGTTTTATTTTATTTATTAATTAAATTTGAATGCTGCCCAATTCCCAATGACTCTGGATGGCTCATAACTGAAATAAGGAAATATAATAACCAATTAAAAATAATATTATAATGTAACAAATAGAAGATGGCGAGACTGATAACCAAGCGGACAAGAACAAAGCAGATGGTCTTCACTGTCCATTGCCAAAAGCCCCAGTGAAGATATAAGTCTTTAAGGCCCATTAAACAACAGCAGAGAAGGAGGAAACCTCAGTAAGGGGTAGGTGCTGCTACAGGAGAAGGTATGCTTTCAGTGTCTTGACAGATGATATGTATAATTGAAAGAAAATACAATGGAAGACAGGGAGTCCTTCAAGAAAGAAATCCTTTTATCTTCTGTATATTCATACTTGCACAACTTCATTACTGACCAGAGGGCATATGCATTCAGGTTTCAATAGCCTCTCATTTCCTGGTTTTGTGAATGTTGAACCAACCTAAGACTCAGCCCTTAAATCAAACACACTTTTGCTCACGGAAATGCTGTTTCTGAAAAACAAATTTACTAACACACAACTGGCAGGTTTACTCTTTGATTAATATATCTGAATTTGCTTTCTTGAAAGTCAACTTTACATGATGAATCTTAATAGTATAGATTTTTAATTGTGATCATAAAATTATTTCAAGACGCACATTAAATGTTTTAGAGGTACACTTTAAATGAATAATGCAGTTAAGCATGTTTTCTTATTAGAATTAAAAATAATAAATGGCTATTTGGGTTTAAAATGGATAACCAGAAGACAAAAACTAGCATACCCAGAAGATTTCTTTATATTGAGTTATAATTTTAAAAAGTGGAATTAATCAGTTTACTAAAACCTCCCTCCTAGAACTTCAATTTATGCTGAAAGGTACAATTTACAAATGTAGAGTGTCATATTATTTTGACTTATTAGACAGAAAATCCCTTGATAGAGCTGTGGTGGTGCAGTGGTTAGAATGCAGTATTGCAGGTTAATTCTGCCGACTGCCAGCAGTTCAATTCTCACTGGTTCAAAATTGACTCAGCCTTCTGTCCTTCGGAAGTTGGTAAAATGAGGACCCAGATTGTTGGGGGCAATATGCTGACTCTATCCTTAGAGAGGGTTGTGAAGCAGTATATAAGTCTAAGTGCTATCGCTATTACTAGACCAAATACAATTTATTCTATAGTAAGAAAACAGGAAATAAGAATTATCTATGGGACAAGCCCATCCTTGACACCAGGCTTTACTTCTAAAAAAAAGTGCACTGAATTGAACCTTATTGCAACTATTGGGTTGTATATTCTTATTCTTTCTTTCAGAAGTATAACAGTTAAAAACTTTACTCCCCTTTCTGAGTAATGTTTAGATTAAAACATCACTCCCCTTTGCCACTTTGTCTTGCCAGTAATTCATCCAATGAGTATATAGTCTACAAATGTCATTTGCTAACTCTATCACTACATAAACATGTTCTGGTTCTCTCACACATGAAATATATTTATGATATAAATATAAATGAAAAAAAGTGATAGTATGCATCACCACATAATTAGGCAGAAGTTCAACAAGAAATCCATTCCCCTAAGCAAATGAACTTGCTACTGGTACTATCCCAATAGGAACTCTGCTAAAAAGTCCCTGAAACTTGGACACAGTCTTGACACTAGAAACACAATAAGTTAGAACACCAACATTGGGGGGAAACCCCATCATTCATACATTCATCTTTCCTTCTACTTCCCAAATGAACATCAAAATGGAACCATGAATACAGAAAGGGAGGGACCTTAACACACTTATGAAATTCCCTGGGTATGCAAAAATATATTATAAACTAACTAAATATAAACCAATTAAATCTACCCTTACAGAAGCTCATGGAGGGCTGGTAGGAAAGACAGAAGGAGCAGTTAACACTGATGACCAGCTTGGTTTATGGTCTCAAGGCCTCTTCGTTGAGGAGTCTGTTTTTGATATTTCCCCACGAAAAAGCTCAATATGGTGCTAAAACTCAAAATAGGGCTGAGCCAAAGTGCTAGCTTTTTAGGTTCTGGTTTTTAAACCAAGACTTGAATATCCAACCTTAAATGTTTTAACATTAAACTTTCTAGATTATTGTTAAGTTACATGAGTCCATAAGGCAATGTAAAATTGGTACCCTTTTTTAATTGGCTCTAGTCTAAAATATATACGGCATACTCCATTTAATCCTCCAGGGAAAGATTGAAGGCAAATGAGGTCCAGGCAGAAGAAGAACATCGTGGCTTCAAAATCTAAGGGACTGGTTTGGACAAAACTCAGCAGCACTTTTTTGTGCGGCTGCTGATAAAAACATGATCGCCAACGTCGGATAACAAACATGGCACAAGAAGAAGAAGAAGAAGCAATTATGCATTAATATTTTCAAGGAAAATCTCCCTCCCTTCCTCAGGTCAAAAACATGTAAGGCAGACATGAAGGCACATTAGCAAGGCCATCTAGGATACACAAGTAACCCTTAGATGAACTGGCAAATTTTGAAAGAATTTCAGAATGGATATTCAGAAAAATACTCCAATGGTTTAGATAATTCTTAAAACAGAAATGCAAACATTATTGTCTCAGTGTTTCACCATCCCCATCTCCATCATCAAGATGGGACTGAATTTTTTCATCTGATAGTCCCTTTCCAGAATTGCATGGGACTTCTCTAGTTTTCCACAGCACCATCAGTCTTGAAAGAGTTCAGTTATCTTGCAGCTAAAACATTAGTTTAGCAGAGTTCCAATGCTGCTATATGTATTGGTGGCAGCCTCCTCAATTAGTTTGATGACATGAGCCAAGGGTGGAAGTGCAGTCAAGAAGGCCACTCACTACACTCCATGCAGTGTTCCATGCTAACCTTGTTTGGACAACAGCAGAGCCTAGCCCCATTCCTAAATCACAGTAAACACAAGACTATGAGGGCATGTATATCAACACCTCTTCCTCCCAACCTAACGATTGGAGGAAAGCACATGACACAGCTGTTTGAAGGAACCCTTCAAAGATTCCCTAGGCAGCATGGGAATTCTAGGAAGATCTGGTCCCTATGTATCGGGGATGAGAAAAGTTGAGTTACAAAATGTTTAACTTAATTTAAATTAAACCTGCAAGAAAGTAAGAAACTCATCCATTGCTATACACCAGCAAGTAATTTTTGGATTAACTACATTTTTATTATTTGAAAATCACTGCACTATATTTACACTTCTTTTTTACCTCAACCCATGGAGTTTTCATCAATTGTGACAGTTATCCAAGATTCAGACACATTCTCCACAGGTTTTTGACTAAGAAAATCATGGGACAAAGCAACCCATCTGTAAAGTGAGGGGGAAAGTATATTTTATGACCCTTCCATATTGTGATTTTTGTTAGGTATGAAAATCCCTCCTCCAAAACATGTTATTAGCTAGTTTTTTAAAAAACAGTAAGAGTTTAACCTACTACAACTTGGTGTCTTCTGTACTGAACTACAACCCCACCATACCCTGGTAGATTGGAAAATTAATTTAGGCAGAAAAACACTATCAGTTTACTAATAGCAATTGGCCAAGATAATTAATGTTTTATTCTCATGAAATTAATCCATGATAAATTAAACCACAGATTACTCCAAGTGTGCACAATCTGAAATGTAACCAACCACACAGGCCAGATTCATACAAATGCTAACTAAACAGTGATTAGTTGGCTAGGTTGTGAACAGTGTATCTCGTGAACCTATCCAAACCTGCCATATTCTTGCACTCTGGCAACATATTTTCAAATATCTATTATGTATATCTGTGGAAGGCTATCACCATCAGGACCTCTATCCACAGATGGTAGCTGCAAGAAACAGAACTTTGGACTTTATGGACTCATCTGATCCAACAGTGAAATAAAGGTAAAATTGGGCAATATATTTATTGCCAAATATCAAGAATGTATCTGACTTATAATTCACTAGGAACTGGGCAACTCAGGGATGGGAGCTGAGGCATATTAAAGCTGCTATAACATACATATTGTGAAAGAAACAATGAACAGGAGAAGGGAGGACAAAGCAGGTTAGTTTAAATAAATATTTATTTCCTGCTTGTCCCTATGTTTTCATCTCCTCCCTAGATAGGCTTAAGTCATTCTTTGCTGTCGTGTTTTTCTCTTTATTCCACTAATACCTAAGGGCCATCTCAACGTGCACAACATTGGTTGAGTTTTACCACTGATTACCTTGGAGAGAGATCAAGCCACAGGCAGTGGCTGGAAAAAGAGGCAGGATAGATGTCAATAACCAAGACAGCAAAATTTATTCTGCTGTACTTTGATTTTCTGCAGACTCAGAATAAGTGAATTTAAATTGAGTAGTTAAAAAAAGCCCCACGGTGTTTCAGCCATTCCTGTCTCTTGGAGGACAGAACTAAAATATTTTCCAGTCTGAACCACCTCCTTAACTTTTGTCTCCAGTGAGGACTCTTTTAAGATTTTGCCAGTGTTGAAAATTGCTTAAATGATCAGTCCTCTTCTAGAGGTGGAATGGAGGGGGGAAATTGTTTTCTGTTTTTGCTTCAGCAACAATACCTCCTGGGCTCCTTGGAGATCATCCTCATCCAGACAGATTTGTAGGATGGTCTTCCCCAAGCTAGCACTTTTTGATTCCCCATAACTCTGGGCTGATACAGAAGTTGTAGACCACGACAGAGCTGTAGGACAGCCTTCTCCAAGGCAGCAGTTCCCCAGGCTAGTAACCTCACAAACCTCAGCGGGTTCAGAAGCTGACCGAGATACTCAGAGGGCACCCCGGTAGGGAAAGCTGATTTCGGAGAGGCAAAGCTGTTAACGCAGGGCGTTTATTCATCTCCCTGGAAGCTGCAGGTGGCGGAAGAAATGGCAACACTCACCCCGAGAGAGGAGGCGATGGATCCCCCGGCTCCCCGAACGTCTTGTTTTGTTAGCGAGGAAGAAGCGCTTCCTACCGAGGACAAGGTCTGAAATTCGCTCCCTACAGCAATCAGGGCGATGATAATGGTAGGCGGCGGGCAACAGGCTCCCTCGTCTAAGGCCAGGCGGCAGTTACTTCCTGGTTACTTAGACTTTCTACCTCAGAAAAGCTCCGAGGATCCACCTGTCCGTCTCCAGACAGGTATGGAAGAGCAACGATTAAAAGTTTCCGGCCCGGCACTGTAGGCCGCCCTCGTGTGAAGGGCGCGGGGAAAGGGAGAGGCTACTGGAGCGCTCCTGCACGGAAGAAATTTGCACCTTGAAATCGCGGCCATTTCGCCTGGCGCCAGCAGCCGAGTTAGAGGCATCGGGGCGCCGGCGAATCTCGCGCCTTTGACGAAGTCACCGGTGACGCCGGCGAGCCCTCGCGGCCGCCCCTCGCCTTGGCCCTTAACAGCCAGCCGACCGACCGACCGGGCAGAAAGGAGGGTAGATTTGTACCAAGGTGCTGCGGTTTGCATTGCCATTTAACTTTTCCGCCCTGTTTTTCCCAAAGTTCAGCCCTGTTGATTGCGAAGGCGTGAGAACGGCAGTCTTCGTTTCATTTCCAGTGTGCGATTCAAGCGAAAGATGAAAAATGTTCTCTCTGCTGCGGTCGAGTCAACCCTGAAATTCAGCCACGGAAGAGGGAAAGAAGCAAATTATTTGCCCAGGGAAAGTTTCCTGTTGAATTATTGTATTTTATTTTTATTTATTTTATTATTTTATTTTTATTATTTTATTTTTATTATTTTATTTTTATTTTATTATTTTTATTTTATTATTTATTTCCTTGCTTATTTCCTTACTTATTTGAATAGTGAACACTTGGAAATGCCCAGCTGAGGTTTGTTCATCAGGTGAAGTCAAACTGATGGGGAGAAGATTAAAATTTAAATTTAAATTAATAAATATTATTGGATTGTGTTTAAATCTGCCCAGTAGTAGTTAGAGTATATGTATTTTCTCTCTCACTCCCCCCCCTTTTTTCCCCCTTTTTGGACAAGGCTTCTGTATTAACATCAGTTTTTGGGTTTGCCAAAAATCTATCTTGGAAAGCTGTCACCATCATTTTGTGTCCAAAGACAGGAGAAATATCAGGCAGAAATTTAACATGTACCTGTCTGTAAATAGTCTGGCAGCCATTATTTCACAAAGAACAAAAAGAAAAGAAAATAGTGATTTTGATGCTTTTACACTACACACACAAACACAAACACACACACACACACACAAAGGCACAGGTAAAAACCAATTAAAGGAAATAGCAGGGATAACCGATAAAAGAAAATGGAACATGGAGGAAAAAAAATCTTGTTCATTTATAATGTCTATAAAATAAATGCTTCAGTTCTTATTAAAAGTGATTTAAATAATTCAGGAAAACTGGAACTTTTACAGCACTGATTTTTCCCCCCACTGATGAGACTTAAATGCATTGGAGCAATGTTATGAAATAAAATGAACATTTTTTAAAAAAAAGTTAAAAATTAAACAGCAGATCCCTAAACAGATCCCTAAACCAGTTTATGTACACCACCCATGTTTCTTGAAGAAAGGGGGGAATGCAATTTTTATTTATATTTCATTTATTATAATTTATGTAGCAGTCCTAATATAGAAAGTACATAGTGGTTCATGGGATACATAAGGAGTTATTAGAACATTTGTGATTAGTTTGAAGTTATAAACATATAATAACGTAAAGTACTATAATAAATCCCCCAAAGCAGTTCCTCTAGCTTCTGGTCATCTCACATCCCCAAAATAAGTAACCCACCAGGAGCTTTCCCAGGAAAATCAATGTGGTTGGGCAGATTCTACTGGGAAACTGCAGTCCTGAAGGTAATTTTTGGCAAGGCCTGAAGAGATTGATACGTTAAGACCAGCATTTTAAATTTACTTAGAAGTTTACTCATAACAACCACCAAAGTTTATTTCTATATTACTACAATAATACAGAGGTTTGTGGAGTAATATAATTAAATAAAATGATAATAACAGCATTCTAAGTACCTTTCATATTCAAACTGTGGGTGCTTTTGAGTCAGTGTTGACTCCTGGCAACTGCATATCCGTGCAGTCGTCAAGATTTCTGAAATGGTTTGCCATTGTCTCTTTCCTAGGGCTAAGAATGAATGACTGGCCTGAGGTCATCCACCTAATTTCTAGTCCTAAAGTGGGATTAGAAATTACAGTCTAACCTGGAGCTTTAACCACTATACCAAACTGGCTCTCTATTCAAACTTTATATATTTATTGTTTTATAGATTCAGTAGTTCAATGAATCATTGGAAATCAAATGGTTATGTGGTTTTTTTAAAAGAAATATCAAAGCATAATACAAAATTTCATATTAATGAGTTATAAAATTAATAGATAAGAAAGCCCATACAAGGATGGTGAAACAATGGTTCTCTAGATCAGGGCTTTTCAACCGGTGGTACGCATACCACTGGTGGTACTTTGGCACCTGGCAGGTGGTACATACCCGTCCTAGAGAAGTGGTAGCGGAGGGGAGAGGAATGAGCTGAAGCAGAGGCAGTGCTGCACAAGCCTGAGGGAGAGACAGCTGGAGCTGCAGGACTGTCGGGGCTCAGCAGAAGCCCCAGGATCAGCACCGGGCTCCAGCTGATCGGTGCTTTCGGAAGCTGGAGGTGCCCTGAAGAGAAAAGGAGGAGGGGGGAGAGAGAAGAGGATATAAAAGGTTTTGGCAGGAAAGGGCCAGTGAGGGGCTGCCCCTGTCCTGCCCCTGGGCACGTGAAGAGGCGGCGACTGCCCAACATCCCTGCTGACTGTCCCTCGTGTGCTTGCCACTTTCTCCGTGCACCCACAGGGGGTGGGGCAGAGATAGCAGGGGGCGCTCGCTGGCTCCAGGGCTGCCCCATGGATCTAAGGCTGAGCACGTTTCGGCTTTGATGCCCCCCACCTGCTTGCTGACCTTGCCTCGCAGCCACCAAGCTTCCCTTTCACCGAGACCACCCCAGCATGGTCACTGGCAGCGCTGGCAATCTCTCCCCCTCCCATCATCCTTTCCTGAGTACGGAGGAAGGAACGAAGGGAGGGAGGGAGGGGGGAAGGAAGGAGCGAGCTGGGAAAGGGACTGCCTTCTGAGCGCTTCTCAGGTTTATTTTTTTTAGCTGCCAGAGGCTCCAGGGAGGAGGCTTCACATTTTGACCCCTCCCCCTGTTGCCTCTACGTGGCTCTCAGTTTGCCTCTTCCAGACCCATGCACGTGTTTGTGTGTGCGCGCGCGCAGGGGGGCGTCTCCTTGCAGACCTACGCTGTGACATTGGGGAGGAAAAGAACGGGAGAGATAAGAGAAGCTGTGATGGAGCTTCTTGCAGCCTTCCACTGGGCTGGGGGCAGGAGCTGAGGGGCGCAGGGCATGATGTGATTGGCAGCACATTGAGAAAAAGAAATAAGTACTCCCCCAAAACAGCTTTCATTATCAAGGTCTCTGTTGGTGCAGGGCTGCAAGGGGTGAGACCCTCCCCCGCCCATGCGCCCACATGCGCACACACACACAAACACGTGTGCAGGTCTGGGAGAGGTGAGCTGAGAGCCACGCAGATGTAACGACAGTGGGGAGGGGTCAAAGTGTGAAGCCTCTGCCCACTGCAGGCTTCCTGCTGCCACCTCTGCCCGGAGCCTCTGGCAGTTGAAGGAAGGAAGGAAGGAAGGAAGGAAGGAAGGAAGGAAGGAAGGAAGATTATAATGAGAGGGAGGGAGGGTCTGAGGGAAGTCCCGCCTTAGCATTTGGCCACGACCAGCCCTGCTGCCCTTTTGCCATCCCCTTGTCCCCTCCTCCTGATTCTCCTGGTGGTCTCCCAGCCTAGGATGCTTTGGTTACAAAGTCAGGTCTCCTTGCATGGAGAGGGATTGGGACTCCCTCTGACCCACACATTTTGCCTTCCCGCAAACACCATGAGCAACCTGGCCAAGAAAAGCGAGCCAAGCAGCAGCAGCCTCGAGAAGGTAAACACAGCCAGGGGGGGGGGCTTGGGGAAAGCTCGGTGTCAACGCTGCAAATACTGTATATTCTTGCTGTGACAATATGCAGAACTGTCTGGTATTTTTATAGTTAAATCAGGCAACAGTGAAAGGGGAGGAGAATAAGGAAAGCCCGGGAAAAAGAAACCGGAAGTGAATCACATCTTCCAAGTTAATTGGAAGATGTGAACCATGACCCCAAAATAGGGGCGGGAAAAATGCCTGGAATGTCTGTGCAACGGAAAAGGATCTCAGATCTAAGCATTTCCACCATGCCGTACTGACATCTCTGTAACCTTAATAAATGCTTTTAGGAAAAATATGCCTGAAAGTCCTTTTAAGTGTTTCGTTAATCAGACACATGACACTCGGCTGAGCCGGGCACTTGCCCTCCACTACCCAGGGCTCTGGGCAGCCTGCACCACCGGGGTCCTCTGCGTGGCCTGAGAGCAAAGGAAGCGCCACCAAATAAATTAAAACTGGTATTTTTTCCTTTTTTTACGGTTTGTAACATTTTATTAGATTATGGAATAAAACACAAAAATACAAAAGGAAATAGTGGGACACAGTGGGGAGGAAGAAGGAGAAAAAAGTGAAGGGGAGAAGGAAAAAAGAAAAGGTATTGACTTCCAACTTCCTCTGTTACAGTAGAATGAAGCATTAACATCGAACCTCAACTTTTTACTTTTCCATAATATTATAAACTAGCCATTTCTATAACAACAAATGAATCAGTAAAACCCAAAATCCTGCCCCCCCTTTTTTTTCAGTCATCAAGTTTTTGACACCTTGCTAAGCACTGGTGGCACTCAAATATTGTCATGTCTTAAAAGTGGTACAATCTGTGAAAAGGTTGAAAAGGCCTCTCTAGTTGATGCTGAACTACCACTTTCAGCATTCATCGATGGCAGTGACGACTAAGGCTGCAGAGAACTTTGGTCCAGGAACATCTGGAGAGCCATAGATTCCCCACCTTTATCGTTGGATAACATGTATCAAACACATTTCATTTAGTATATTTTTGCATTATGTAATACAGCTGTTTACAGTACGCAGTTTCGTGTACTTTATAACAGGGCAAAAGGGATGAGAACTATCATGCATTTAACTTTATTTATTAGATTAATATGTAGTCACCACACCCATGATTCTATGAGCCAAGTAAGACTGGAATAAGAAATAACCAGGTGCATCCTGGAATAATTGAATGCTTGGCAATAGAGAAAGCAGAGACTTTTCTACA